ATAGTGTATTGCTTTACTTGTATGTATGTGAGTGGGGCTTATTGGTAGGCATTGTCAAAGAGGTGGGCTATAGGAGGAACTGAAAGATGGTGATGGAGTCAGTCATTGATGGCTGGAGGGAGGGAGCTTGGACCTGGGGATGACAAGGTGGCCTTCTGTGGTGGAATGGAGTGCTCGTGTGGGTTGGTAGGGGAGAAGAAGGTCTGAGAGGTGAAGGGCTTCGTAGGTCGTGTGTCCTGATAGAAATGTGCCGTTTTCACATACAGTGAGGGAAAAAAGTATTTGATCCCCTGCTGATTTTGTACGTTTGCCCACTGACAAAGAAATGATCAGTCTATAATTTTAATTGTAGGTTTATTTGAACAGTGAGAGACAGAATAACAACAACAAAATCCAGAAAAACGCATGTCAAAAATGTTATAAATTGATTTGCATTTTAATTAGGGAAATAAGTATTTGACCCCCTCTCAATCAAAAAGATTTCTGGCTCCCAGGTGTCTTTTATACAGGTAACGAGCTGAGATTAGGAGCACACTCTTAAAGGGAGTGCTCCTAATCTCAGTTGTTACCTGTATAAAAGACACCTGTCCACAGAAGCAATCAATCAATTAGATTCCAAACTCTCCACCATGGTCAAGACCAAAGAGCTCTCCAAGGATGTCAGGGACAAGATTGTAGTCCTACACAAGGCTGGAATGGGCTACAAGGCCATCGCCAAGCAGCTTGGTGAGAAGGTGACAACAGTTGGTGCGATTATTCGCAAATGGAAGAAACACAAAAGAACTGTCAATCTCCCTCGGCCTGGGGCTCCATGCAAGATCTCACCTCGTGGAGTTGCAATGATCATGAGAACGGTGAGGAATCAGCCCAGAACTACACGGGAGGATCTTGTCAATGATCTCAAGGCAGCTGGGACCATAGTCACCAAGAAGACAATTGGTAACACACTACACCGTGAAGGACTGAAATCCTGCAGCGCCCACAAGGTCCCCCTGCTCAAGAAAGCATATATACAGGCCTGTCTGAAGTTTGCCAATGAACATCTGAATGATTCAGAGGAGAACTGGGTGAAAGTGTTGTGGTCAGATGAGTCCAAAATCGAGCTCTTTGGCATCAACTCAACTCGCCGTGTTTGGAGGAGGAGGAATGCTGCCTATGACCCCAAGAACACCATCCCCACCGTCAAACATGGAGGTGGAAACATTATGCTTTGGGGGTGTTTTTCTGCTAAGGGGACAGGACAACTTCACCGCATCAAAGGGACGATGGACGGGGCCATGTACCGTCAAATCTTGGGTGAGAACCTCCTTCCCTCAGCCAGGGCATTGAAAATGGGTCGTGGATTGGTATTCCAGCATGACAATGACCCAATACACACGGCCAAGGCAACAAAGGAGTGGCTCAAGAAGAAGCACATTAAGGTCCTGGAGTGGCCTAGCCAGTCTCCAGACCTTAATCCCATAGAAAATCTGTGGAGGGAGCTGAAGGTTCGAGTTGCCAAACGTCAGCCTCGAAACCTTAATGACTTGGAGAAGATCTGCAAAGAGGAGTGGGACAAAATCCCTCCTGAGATGTGTGCAAACCTGGTGGCCAACTACAAGAAACGTCTGACCTCTGTGATTGCCACCAAGTACTAAGTCATGTTTTGCAGAGGGGTCAAATACTTATTTCCCTCATTAAAATGCAAATCAATTCATAACATTTTTGACATGCGTTTTTCTGGATTTTTTTGTTGTTATTCTGTCTCTCACTGTTCAAATAAACCTACCATTAAAATTATAGACTGATCATGTCGTTGTCAGTGGGCAAACGTACAAAATCAGCAGGGGATCAAATACTTTTTTCCCTCACTGTATGTAGACACTGGTTTAGTGCTGGGGATTATGAATATGAGGTTGAAAAGTGGCCAAGTTGCCCTTTAAGACTTTTCATCCGAAAAACATTACAAGTATAGTGAGGTCTTTATTTTGTCTAACGGTTAGCAAATTAGGTAAATTGAGAAAGCTCACTTTATTTAACCTCAATGTCAACTTGTAGATTTTAGCTGTATAGATAATGTATTTTGGATGTTTTCAATGTATTTCCAATGTGATTAATTGTGATAAAAAGAAAATGGTGCACTAAAATTACAAAACGTTTATTAAAACTGATTAACTCTGACAGCCCTAATAATTATATACTTACACAGTTTTGAGGTGCTCTTGATGTTGCTTGGAGTTGACTCTTTTGGGACTGTTCCATTGGTTCCAATTCTGACTGTCTGACTACTCAAACACTTGTAGAGATAAACTGACTGGGGTGTTCACCTACTAACTTTGACTACCGGAGACCTGACCATGAAAGGAACGAGCGTATGCTGATACATCCATCACAGTTCACACATCCCAGGTACCCAACACACGTTGACTCACCGGCTATAGCTTCAACTTCCAACATTATTTTATTTCTTATGTCGACGAGTGAAACATTTGATTATGACTTAAAATAAGCTATAACTTTGTAGTAAATTAATGGAACGTGTGAAACCAAGTCCCAGAAGACTTCATTTTCATGGCTGCTTTTAACAGTCAGCTCTGACGTCACAAGTCATATGCTTTCAATGTGCTTTCAATTTTATGTCAGTTTATTGACTGATGCCACATTTGTGATGGATTAGAAAAATGCCTTACTAACACTAACAGAAACCAATGTAGACTCAAACAGACTAAGCAGAGTAGTAGCATGAAATTGCACCTAAAAACAAACTGAGTTTACAAAACATTAAGAACAATTGCTCTTTCCATGACATAGACTGACCAGGTGAATCCAGGTGAAAGCTATGATCCCTTATTGATGTCACTTGTTAAATCCACTTCAATCAGTGTAGATGAAGGGGAGGAGACAGGTTAAAGAAGGATTTTTAAGCCTTGAGACCAACAACCTGACTATTTGACAGGTTTTATACCACACAGAGAGAAAGGAGAGTCAGTGTAGTGTACTTACAGTATGTACAGTATGTATGTGTGTGCGCACGTGTAAGTGTGTATGCATGCGTGTTCTGCATGTGTATGTGTGCCATTCAGAGGGTGAATGGGTAGGACACAATATTTAAGTGCCTTTGAACAGGGTATGTTATTAAGTGCGCTCCAGTTTGTGTCAAGAACTGCTAGGTTTTTCACGCTCAACAGTTTCCCGTGTGTTTCAAGAATGGTCATCCAGCCAAAGGACATCCAGCCAACTTGACACAACTGTGGGAAGCATTGGAGTCAACATGGGCCAGCATCCCTGTGGAACGCTTTTGACACCTTGTAAAGTCCATGCCCCAATGAATTGAGGCTGTTCTGAAGGCATAAGGGGGCATGCAAGTGCAACTCAATATTAGTAAGGTGTTCTTAATGTTTGGTGAACTCAGTGTAGGCCTAGGGTTTCAAGCTTTTGGTTGATAAGGGGGGAAGGGGATAGGGACTGAAATGGAACTGGGCCGTAGTCAAAAAGTTGATTAAAACGGATTAACTCTGACAGCCCTAATAATTATATACTTACAGTTGAGGTGCTCTTGATGTTACTTGGAGTTGACTCTTTTGGGACTATTCCATTGGTTCCAATTCTGACCGCCTGACTGGTCAAACACTTGTAGAGAAAAACTGACTGGAGTGTTCACCCACTAACAGAGACTACAGGAGACCTGACAATGAAAGGAACAAGCGCGTTGATACATCCAACACATTTCACACATCCCAGGCACCCAACACGCGTTGACTCACCACATATAGCTTCAACTTCCAATGTGTGAACCCATCAAGTCACAGAAGACTTCATTTTCATGGTTGGTTTTAAGTCAGCTTATATCACATATGCTTTCAATGTGGATGCCCGTTTCATTTGATGTCCATTTGACGGATACCACATTTGTGGTCATGGACTAGAAAAATGCCTCACTAACACGAATAGAAACCAACAGAGACTCAAACAGACTAAGCACAGAGTAGTAGTGTGAAATTGCACCTACAAACCAATCTAAGGTCAGTTTTGCAGTTCCCTCCTTTAAATGGGTAGGGTAAGGATTGTGTGGAGGATAAAACTGATCCCAGATCTGCCTGCCTATGGGAAACTTCTACCCAGAGCAATTATAGAGTTGAGAAAAACTCGTCAGGATTAGCCAAAATTCGGACTGTTTTGATAACAGTGTGTGTATGACAGAGAGGGATGCACAGATGCGTACAATTACTTTAGGCTGCAAAGTGGCTCTAATTTGAACTAAAGTGTCTACATTCTTACATAACTCAAACATTCCCTACAGTATTTAAGCCTGGTTCAGAAACAACCCTTCTAAAGAATCTATTACAAACAGTTCACCCAGTCAGTGACAGGTCTGCTGCAAGCCTGGAAACCCATAGCTTGTAGGACAGTGACACCTTGTGTTCTTTTATTTCTCCCTGCCTAAGCACTGATCAGAGCACACAAACAGATTAAGCCTGGTCCTGTATTAAAAGCGAACTCGATAGAGAATCTCCTGTGCTCAGGAAACCGCCCCTTAGAGGACAGACTTCAAATAAAAGACAGGGACAGAATATCAAGTGTCAAATCTCTATATTTAACCCATCCATCCATTCTACCGACCAACAACCTGACTATTTGACAGGTTTATACCACACAGAGAGAAAGGAGAGAGTCAGTGTAGTGTACTTACAGTATGTACAGTATGTATGTGTGTGCGCACGTGTAAGTGTGTATGCATGTGTGTTCTGCATCTCTCCCTCAACATTGTACTTCTTTTTTATTCATATACTGCGTGTGTATATTTCACAGTTATCTACTCAATATTTCTGTACAGCAAGACACACAGGAGACGAGAGAGGGGGTGGGGAGGTTACGCGTTTACATGGGGACAGCAAATAAGGAGGGGAATAAAACAACTGTCACTATGGCCTCAGTGGGCCCAGTCACATGCAAGGAGTGGGGGGGCTGGTCCTTGGGCGGCAGAACCAATGGGAGTAGGGGGAGAGCGACCCCTGGTCCAATCAATAGGAGGAATCCATCTCTCTGTCCTCCCTCTCTTCCTCGTCCATCTTTCGACCGTGCTTCCTGAAGTACTTGTACCTCTGAACGTAAAGCTTGACCAGGTTGCTCACCTTGACTGGGTTGATCTCTCCCGTTCGACTGTGGCAGATCTGAGAAGCAGAGACAACCACACATAGGTCGGTATTAGTCATAAACACACTATATATCAAATGGCTGTTACACTGTAATTACTTCCAATTGTAACTGTGTTGGAACATAGTTACATATTCTGTATTATAAACCAGGGTAGTTTGCGTCCTGGATGCTGATTGGCTGAAACAGCATTTCAGCCGTGTGTATATTAGACAATATACCACGGGTATGATGCAAAAATTCTTGTTTACTGTTCTTTTTATGTTGGAATCCAGTTTATAATAGCAATAAGGCACCTCTGAGGTTTGTGGTATATGGCCAATATACAGCTTCGCGTCGTGCATAAGAACAGCCCTTGGCCACTGAACAAAAATATAAACACAACATACAACAATCACTAAGATTTTACTGAGTCACAGTTCATATAAGGAAATCAATTAATTAGGCCCTAATCTATGGATTTCACATGACTGGGAATACAGATATGCATCTGTTGGTCACAGATACCTTAAAATGTATGGGGGTGGATCAGAAAACCAGTCAGTATCTGGTGTGACCACCATTTGCCTCATGCAGTGCGACACATCTCCGTCGCATAGAGTTGATCAGGCTGTTGATTGTGGACTGTGGAATGATGTCACACTCTTCAATGGCTGTGAGAAGTTGCTGGATATTGGCGGGAACTGGAACACGCTGTCGTAAACGTCGATCCAGTGCATCCCAAACATGCTCAATGGGTGACATGTCTGGTGAGTATGAAGGCCGAGAAAGAACTGGGACATTTTCAGCTTCCAGGAATTGTGTACAGATCCTTGCGACATGGCCTTGCATTATCATGCTGAAACATGAGGTGATGGCGGATTATGAATGGCACGACAATGGGCCTCAGGATCTCATCACGGTATCTGTTAGTTGTCCGTAGCTTATGCCTGCCCATACCATAATGCCACCATGGGGCACTCTGTTCACAACGTTGACATCAGCAAACCGCTCGCCCACACGTCTGCCCAGTACAATTAAAACCGGGATTCATCCGTAAAGAGCACACTTCTCCAGCGTGCCAGTGGCCGTCGAAGGTGAGCATTTGCCCACTGAAGTCGGTTACGACGCCGAACTGCAGTCAGGTCAAGATCCTGGTGAGGACGACGAGCACACAGATGAGCTTCTCAGAGACGGCTTCTGACAGTTTGTGCAGAAATTCTTCGGTTGTGCAAACCCACAGTTTCATCAGCTGTCCGGGTGGCTGGTCTCAGACGATCCCGCAGGTGAAGAAGCCGGATGTGGAGGTCCTTGGTTGGCGTGGTTACACATGGTCTACGGTTGTGAGGCCAGTTGGACATACTGCCAAATTCTCTAACGGCATTGGGACGTGGCTTATGAACATTAAATTATCTGGCAACAGCTCTGGTGGACATTCCTGCAGTCAGCATGCCAATTGCACGCTCCATCAAAACTTGAGACATCTGTGGCATTGTGTTGTGTGACAAAACTGCACATTTTAGAGTGACCTTTTATTGTCCCAGCACAAGGTGCAACTGTGTAATGATCATGCTGTTTAATCAGCTTCTTGATATGCCACACCTGTCAGGTGGATGGATTATCTTGGCAAAGGAGAAATACTCACTAACAGGGATGTAAACAAATTTGTGCACAAAATTTAAGAGAAATAAGCTTTTTGTGCATTGTTTTTTTTATACATTTTTTTATTTCAGGCCAATATATAACAACTGCCAATACCTGTTTGTGGAAATTCTATAAACATTCACAAACAAGTCAAAATAATTGTATCGACACCACACTACTCAGTCTAGTAATTATGCCAATCTTTTAAAATGTGCAAGTCACAAACAGGTTGAACAGCAATTGTTATTCCTACGGAACAAAATGCACCTACACTCTGTTACTGAGAGACACTACAGCCTAAACCCAAAAGCCTGACCATTGCTGAGCAGACTTTTTTTGTTCCAGCCCAGCATTAACACACCTGATTCAACTACTGATCCAACTGTTCATCAAGTCATTCATAGAATAAGGTGTTTTACACCATCGAATAATAAAGTTAACACTGTACCAAGCCATGTAATAACACTGTACTAAACCATGTAATAACACTGTACTAAACCATGTAATAACACTGTACTAAACCATGTAATAACACTGTACTAAGCCATGTAATAACACTGTACTAAACACATGTAATAAACTGTACTAAGCCATGTAATAACACTGTACTAAGCCATGTAATAACACCTGTACTAAGCCATGTAATAACACTGTACAAGCCATGTATAACACTGTACTAAGCCATGTAATAACACTGTACTAAGCCATGTAATAACACTGTACTAAACCATGTAATAACACTGTACTAAACCATGTAATAACACTGTACTAAACCATGTAATAACACTGTACTAAGCCATGTAATAACACTGTACTAAACCATGTAATAACACTGTACTAAGCCATGTAATAACACTGTACTAAGCCATGTAATAACACTGTACTAAGCCATGTAATAACACTGTACTAAGCCATGTAATAACACTGTACTAAGCCATGTAATAACACTGTACTAAGCCATGTAATAACACTGTACTAAGCCATGTAATAACACTGTACTAAGCCATGTAATAACACTGTACTAAGCCATGTAATAACACTGTACTAAGCCATGTAATAACACTGTACTAAGCCATGCAATAACACTGTACTAAGCCATGTAATAACACTGTACTAAGCCATGTAATAACACTGTACTAAACCATGTAATAACACTGTACTAAACCATGTAATAACACTGTACTAAGCCATGTAATAACAATGTAATGCAGCTAAAGCAGGTTTAGAGGGCTGGGTTACCTTGTGCACGGCCTTCCTCAGGATGTCCTTGTAGTCGTCCTTGTTAATGTCTTTACGCTGGTAGTAGGGCTTAATGGCCAGCTTCACCTCCTCCACCGCACGCTCCTGAGTGTGGAGCTTCTTCAGGTACTGAGAGAGAGAAGAAAAAAAATGAGAGGTGCAGTACTAGTGTTGCACGGTATACCGAAATGTCAGTACTCTTTCGATACCAGAACATGAAAAACTTGTTTTGCAGTAGAATTTGTGTTACTTTCGGTACTTCTGTCAAACGGATCAAGCCTGTCTTATCAGCGCAGGCTTATTATAGCGCCTGCTCCACTTGCTTAATGCTAGCGTCTGGGCTGTATCATGTTAGCTTCCCCCTCATGCTGCACAGAAATTAATAGACTTGAAACTGTTAATTCCTGTTCGCAAAACAATGTCGACACAGGCTAGAACTCTTTACAATGGAAGAATATACCGATAGTGTCCAGCTTTGTAGGCTAACTTTCCTTGCTAGGTGACAGCTAACGCTAACATCAATTCACTACCCTAGACTTTGTTTGCGATAATATGCAAACCATAACGCATAATATGTTGATTACAAAGCTGATTGCCACTAAAAACTTCATGGATTCACTTATTCAGTCGATCTGTCACATCTCTCCAAAATATGATCTATTGCCTCAGTGAACTGACTGCCTCATGAATGACATCATTACTGGTTAAAGAGACAATGCACATTTTTATGAAAAAAGCTAAGTCTATGCAAATGTTGTTAATGAATACAATAACCTTTGTCCCAAATGGAAGGGAAATGGTTTGTCATCTGTAGCCCCATGGAATCACCCAAAACAAGCTCAATAACTCAATGCATGCACACACATATTGAATATGCATTCACCTGTATTGTGGATAGGCTACAGCTTGATTTACCCAATAGAGATTTACCATTCAAATAAATGATTACCATTATGTAGTTAGATTGGTAAAAACAAAGTCAAACTGATTGCAAGATTGCATAATTGATTCATTAATGCAAACGTGGCTGTCTCTGAAAAATGTTTATGTAAAAAAAATGCTAATGTAATGATATTGAACTCAAAAGATGACCAACGATTGAACAGAGCTGTTGCTGAGTCATCTGTCTGGATCAAGTGCTATTCTGTGACTTTGGCTAATATGCTTTTTTTTTGCCGTGGTTTCGTTTTAGTATCGAGCATCGTGATCCTAAACCTGGTATCGGTAATGAAGTAAACATTCTGGTATCGTGAAGACACTATGCAGTACTGTACTGATAGTCTGATGACCTTATTCCTTTCCACAAACACCAGTAATTGGAAGATATGGGAGCAGTAGAAATACATGGTTTTCAATGGTGCTACCTTGTCAGGGTCCTTGCTCTCGTTGTCCCAGCCTATATCACTAGATCCCCCGGACCCTCCCAAGAACCCAGAGGGCATGGGAGGGGGCGGGGTCTGGGCACATCCGCCACCCATAGACATGCCAGGGTGCAGGTGGCTGGGCAGGGATTTGGTGCAGCCCACCAATGGGAGAGAGCTGTGCAGGATGAACTGGGCAGGGGTGGGGCCGGGGGGAGGAAGAACCTGGGAGGAGGAAGAAGAGGAAGGGGCATGCTGCGATGAATGGTTCTGATTGGTTTGGGAGAGAATCTGCAAGAGAGAGAGAAACGGAAGTGTTTGGTAAGATATCGAACACCTTCAAAACAATCCAAGACAAATATGTCACACGTATACAGTGCCTTCAGAAAGTATTTACCTCCCTTGACTTTTCCACATTTTGTTGTGTTACAGCCTGAATTTAAAATGGATTAAATAGAGATTTTGTGTCACTGGCCTACACACACAATACACCATAACGTCAAAGTGGAATTATGTTTTTAGAAATTAAAGGCTGAAATGTCTTTAGTCAATAAGTATTTAACCTCTTATAGCACGCCTGAATAAGTTCAGGAGTAAAAATTTGCTTAACAAGTCACATAATGAATTGCATGGACTCACGCTGTATGCAATAATAGTGTTTAACATGATTTTTGAATGACTACCTCATCTCTGTACCCCACACATACAATTATCTGTAAGGTCCCTATGTCGATCAGTGAATTTCAAACACAGATTCAACCACCAAGACCAGGGAGGTTTTCCAATGCCTTGCAAAGAAGGGCACCTATTGGTAGATGGGTAAAAAAAAAAAAGCAGACATTGAATATCCCTTTGAGCATGGTGAAGTTATTAATTACACTTTGAATGGTGTATTAATACACCCAGTCACTACAAAGATACAGGCGTCCTTCCTAACTCAGTTGCCGGAGAGGAAGGAAACTGCTCAGGGATTTCACCATGAGGCCAATGGTGATTTTGTTTGGCACATTTTTATTTTACCCCCTTTTTCTCCCCAATTTCGATCTTGTCTCATCGCTGCAACTCCCCAACAGGCATGTCCTCTGAAACATGACCCGCCACACCGCGCTTCTTAACACCCGCCCGCTTAACCCAGAAGCCAGCCGCACCAATGTGACGGAGGACACACTGTCCACCTGACGACTGAGGTCAGCCTGCAGGCGCCCAGCCCGCCACAAGGAGTCGCTAGAGCGCATTTAGCCAACTAAAGCCACCACGGCCAAACCCTCCCCTAACCCGGACGACGCTGGGCCAATTGTGCTGGGCTGGGCCTATGGGACTCCCGATCACGGCCGTTTGTGATACAGCCTGGGATCGAACCCGGGTCTGTAGTGACGCCTCTAGCACTGCGATGCAGTGCCTTAGACCGCTGCGCCACTCTGGAGGCCCAGCCAATGGTGACTTTAAAACAGTTACAGGCTGTGATAGGAGAAAACTGAGGATGGACCAACAACATTGTAGTAACGCCACAATACTAACCTAAATTACAGTGTGAAAAGAAGGAAGCCTGCACAGAAAAATATCAAAAATATTCCAAAACATGCATTCTGTTTGTAACAAGGCACTAAAGTCACTTTGTCCTGAATACAAAGTGTTATGTTTGGGGCAAATACAACATCACTGAGTATCACTCATCATATTTTCAAGCATGGTGGTGGCTGCATCATGTTATGGGTATGCTGGTCATCAGCAAGGACCAGGGAGTTTTTTTTTGTATAAAAAGAAACTGAATAGAGCTAAGCACAGGCAAAATCCTAGAAGATAACCTGATTCAGTCCGCATTCCAAAAGACACTAGGAGACAAATTCACCTTTCAGCAGGACAATAATCTAAAACACCAGGCCAAATATACACTGGAGTTGCGTACCAAGACAACATTGAATGTTCCTGAGTGGCTTAGTTACAGTTTTGACTTAAATCTGCTTGAAAATCAAATCAAATGTTATTTGTCACGTGCCGAATACAACAGGTGTAGACCTTACCGTGAAATGCTTACTTACAAGCCCTTAACCAACAATGCAGTTCAAGACATAGAGTTGAGAAAATATTTACTAAATAAACTAAAGTAAAAAATAAAATAAAAAGTAACACAATAAAATAACGAGGCTATATACAGGGGGTACCGGTACCGTGTCAATGTGCGTGGGTACAGGTTAGTCGAGGTAATTTGTACATGTAGGTCGGGGTAAAGTGACTATGCATAGATAATAAACAGCGAGTAGCAGCAGTGTAAAAACAAAGAGGTGGGTGTCAATGTAAATAGTCCGGGTGGCCACTTAATTAATTGTTCAGCAGTCTTATGGCTTGGGGGTAGAAGCTGTTAAGGAGCCTTTTGGACCTAGACTTGGCGCTCCAGTACCGTTTGCCGTGCAGTAGCAGAGTGAACCGTCTATGACTTGGGTGACTGGAGTCTGACAATTTTTGTGGGGCCTTCCTCTGACACAGCCTAGTATATACACAGTACCAGTCAAAAGTTAGGACACACCTACTCATTCAAGGGTTTTCCTTTATTTTTACTATTTTCTACATTGTAGAATAATAGTGAAGACATCAAAACTATGAAATGACACATATGGAATCATGTAGAACCAAAAATTGCTGAATCTCAAATTTAAATATATTTTGATTTGTTTAACACTTTTTTGGTTACTACATGATTCCATATTTGTTATTTCATAGTTTTGATGTCTTCACTATTATTCTACAATGTAGAAAATAGTAAAAATAAAGGAAAACCCTTGAATGAGTAGGTGTGTCCAAACTTTTAACTGGTACTGTACTGGTAAACATACATACACACACACACACACACATAACGGAATATAATTACTCAAAGACACACACACCTGACTTGTAGCATGGATGAACTCTTGGGCTTTGGCTCTACTTGCGATATTGGCCTCTTCCATCTTAAACAGCAGAGCTGTCACTGAAATACAGAGAGCAGGGGGTCAGTTAAACCTTATACATATTATATACTTCATAGTAGCAACAGGAATACACAAAAATGTAATGCCCCTCCACCAAAACTCCACTTGTTGACATTGTGATAATGAATAATATTGATAGAGACTTGCATGCTAAAACTCCTCCGGCCGTGCAGTCCACTCCTGTCTGCAGACTCCAGGGGAGGGTAGGGGCAGCAGGAGGAGGGGGAGGAGGAGGCGGTGGCAGCTTGTTGGCCGAGGAGGAAGAAACAGAAGAGGATGAAGAGGAGGAGGGGTCTGTGGAGGAAGGAGGAAGGGAGAGAGAGGCGGGGGCAGAGCCAGATGAGGAGGAGCAAGGGGGTGAGGCCAGGGATTTGGGGCCTTCGTCCAGAGGGAGGGGCTTCATGTTGGAGGGGCCGTACTGTGAGAGGCCTGCCCCCTGGGAGGAGGGTAGGGCCGGGGGACTGGAGGGGGGCAGGTTGGGGGTGCTCTGGGTCTGAGCGGGGCAGTCCTCAGGTAGGAAGGAGGGCTCGGGGGTCTTACAGCTGCTGTCCACCGTCTGAGAGTCGGGAGAGGACTCCCGAGCATCACGCGAGGCAGGGAGGGAGGGCGGAGAAGTGTGGGGGGGTGAGGAGGACGGGGGGAGGACACTGGTGGAAGAGGACGATGATGAAGAAGAGGACGAGGAAGGGATTGGACCGGCTGGACCGGAGCGCGGACTGGAGGGTTTAGCCCCGACTCCTGATTGGATGTCGGAGGAAGTCCCACCCCAGCCGCCGCCCTCAGAGCTACAGTTGGCCAAGGCGCCATCCACGTCCGTCAAACCACCGGCTAAGCCTTTCTCTGCCCGCGTCTTCTTCGCCAGCCGCCGCCTACGCTTGGTTGCCAGGGCCAATGAGGGCGAAGACGCAGAGGAGGAAGTGGAGGTGGTGGAGCTGGGCTTGGCCTTCTTGGACTTCAGCGTTGCCACCGTGGGATTGGCCAGCGAGGAGGAAGGGGGAGCGGCCAGGGAACTGCGTTTGCCCACCTTCCCCAGGTCCTTGTTGCGTCCACTCAGCAATAGAGGCTCAGAGCAGGGCTTGAGGAACGGAGACCTGCTCTCATTGTCTCTCCTAAAGACCACTGCAATGGAGCCCCCCACCACCGGCCCCCCAGAGCCCCCTACTGGCCCGCCCGCCCCGAGGAGCTCCATGCCCAGCTTCCCCGAGCCCACCGGGCCCCCCGTGGTGCTGCTCACGCCCTCACGCACCAGCACTGACACTTTGGACTGCAACTTGGCTTTCCTCCCACCACCACCGCTCAATTTCTTGGACCTGCCAGACCGACCAGACTCTTTCTTTCCTCCTTTTTCCCCACGCTCTTTCTCCTTCCCTATCTTCCGCCCTCGTTTGCCCAAGGAGGGGAGGGTGGCTGGGGCGGAGGCCGGGCCGGAGGTGGCCTGTGTCGGGGAGAGTGAGGAGGTGGAGAGCCCCTTGCCTTTGGGTCGAACTGAGGAGGAAGAGGACGACTCGGACTGACCAGCTTTCTTGCCCGTTCGGGATTTCTTCTTGAAGTGGTGGCGTCCAGATTTGGTGGCGGTCTTGGGTTTGGCGCTGGGGCTGGGGGCAGCGGGTTCCAGAGGCTGGGGAGGGGGTGGGGAGTCTTCTATAGAGGGGTAGTCTGAGTCCAGGGCCTCTCCGTCCAGAGAGTGTATGTCTATCTCCAGTTTGTCTGAGAAGTGGTCCGAGTCGTAGCCATGGTAATGTGACGGCGGCGAAAGGGAGCGGCTCCCACGCCGGCCCATGCTGTCTTCCAACCCTTCGTCCGAGCGCCGACGCCTCTTCTTCTTCCTCTTGTGGGGCTTGTCGGAGCCCTGGGAGGGGCTGCGGGGGGAGGATGGAGCCAGCGGGGGGGAACCGGGGAGAGTGGTGGTGGTGGTCGTGGTGACCGTGATGGTGCGCTTGATGGCGAACAGGTCAGAGCCGTTGAGATCCTGGATGGACGGCGGCACCACGGGTCGACCGTCTCGACGTCTCTCCCTGTCCCTTTCTCTCTCCCGGTCCCTTTCTCTCTCCCGGTCCCTTTCCCTTTCTCTCTCCCGGTCCCTTTCTCTGTCCCGGTGCCTTTCTCTGTCCCTGTCACTTTCTCTGTCACTTTCTCTGTCCCTGTCACTTTCTCTGTCCCGGTCCCTTTCTCTGTCCCGGTCCCTTTCTCTGTCCTGGTCCCTTTCTCTGTCCCGGTCCCTTTCCCGGTCCCTTTCTCTGTCCCGGTGCCTTTGTTCTATGCTTCCTTTGGACCTCTTGGAGTGTCCTCTTTCTCGGCTAGTCGATTCGCGGCCGCCGTCTCGCTCTCTTTCCCTCTTTATCCGGCTGGAGTCTCCATCCCTCTCCCTTCTCCGGGTGTCGTCTTTCTTTCTGTCCTTGTCTCGATCTCCGTCTCGTTCCCCATCTCTGTACCGGTCTCTGTTCTTCTCTCTCTCTCTCTCTCTGTCCCCGTCTCTCTCTCTGTGTCGGTCCTCTGAAGTGTTTGACCAGGAGCGGCCCCCGTGCGTCTGCTGCACTGAGGAGTTTTGTGAGCGGGGGCGTGCTGAAGATTCCGGAGTGCTCCGTCGTCTCTTCTTCCTCTTCCTGCTGTCGCTTCTGCTGCTCCTCCCCCTCTCCTCCTCCACCTTTGTTTTCTTCTCTTTCTCACTCCGCCGCCCCCTCTCCTTCCCTGTGTCTCTCCTTCCTCTCCCCACTCTTCTCTCCACCACCATCCTTCTCTTTCCTTTTCCTTCTCCTCCTCCTCTCCTCCTCCTCCCCTACCTTGCCCTCCTTCCGCTTGCGCCGCTCCCTCTCCTTGGAGCTCTTGGAGGACTTGCGGCTCTTGTCCTTCTCGGCGGTGAGCGGGGAGGGGGGGGAGGAGGGCAGAGGGAGGGTGTGAGGAGACGGTGGGAGGTGCTGAGGCGAGAGGGAAGAGCGGCAGGAGGAGCGGTATCTCGCATTACGCCGGCTGACCAGCTTCCTCCTCAGATCGCCCACCCCGACCACCACCACCTCCTCCTCTTCCTCTTCCTCCTCCTCCTCCATGGGCTCCCCATCCTCCCTGCCAGGCATCACCGGCCCCGCCCAGTCCCCCTCAGCCCGCACCGACACAAAGCTGTCCCCGTCCAGCACCCTCAGGATCCTCTCCGGCTTGGCTCCCCCGTGGAGGAAAGGACTGCCGGAGGAGATGGGGAGGACGAGAGGAAGGACTCCTTCCCGGCCTCTCTCCTCCCTCTTCCCTCCATCCCTCTCGGTGGCCCCCACGATCTCACCCTCCTCAATCTCAGAGTGGTCAGAGTGGTCTGCCTTCTCTCTCCTGTCCCGTACTTTCACCCGGGGCTCTTTGGTTCGGTCCAGCCTCCTCCGGAGGGGGAGAGGGAGGGAGCGCGGGGAGAGCGGGGGAACAGAGCGAGCGTCCGTGGAGTCTGGAGGAGCATTGTCTTTCTCCTCTCCTCCTGTCCTCCCCGTCTCTGCCTTCCTTCTCTTCCCCTTGCTGCTCACGCTGTTCCCTCTCTCGCTCACTCCCCCCGTCTCTCGTTCCTCCTCCTCTCTCGCTGAGGGGGGAGAGCCGGTCGGATCAAAGGGGTCGTACTTTTCCCCTTCTACCTCCTCGGCCGCTCCTCCCTCCCTCTCTCCTTCCGTGGGGTGAAACGGGTCGTAGATCTCCGTCTCGCATTCTTTTTGTCCGTCGGTTCCCCTTTGGGGTGAGGAGGAGAGGCATAACAAGGGATCAGAGGAGGAGAAAGGGGGGTCAGAGTGGGAGGAGGGGGGAGCCAGAGAGGCGGAAGTGGAGGACACCACGTCACCCATCGTCACGCTGTTGGCCCTTCCCTCCTGGACGTCGTTGTGGTAGCTGGTGGCCACGGTGCCAGGAGAGGAGGATGAAGAGGAAGGTGGGGAGGCGGGAGAGGAGGAAGGGGAGGAGGGAGAGGTGGAGGAGGGCAGGGGGCTCTTGGCAGTCTCTGTGATCCTGTGAGGAGGAGGGACAGCAGGCATCCCTTTAAGGCCTGGGGTTCGAGTTAAATCCATGGCCCAGGATGGGAGCTGGCCCTGGGGCAAGCTGTAGTCCAGTACTCCCTGTAGCCTGGGGTTGTGGGTGGAGGAGGGATGCTGAGGGCTGGGGATCAAAGAGCAACCCTGAAAGATGAGACAAGAAATGTTAGGCCTTTATCGTCCACCTGGGGGTCTACAATCTGTCAAGTCTATGTGTATGTGTGTGTGTTTGGGGGAAGTAGAGTATTGTATGTGTGTATTGGAGTTGGTACAAGGTATTTACCCGTCTTCCTGCTGCCTATACCAGGGGTGACAGTGGACAGGATACTGAGCAGTGACGAGCCCTCCACTCTCACCTCAGCTGTCAACTCCACCTCAAGGTCAGAACTGGAATACAAATAGAACACTCATGAAACCACGCATAGTGGAACTGGCACATCTAAATTCCCTGTTATGTCATTTATTATATTGGGTGTCTACATTTCAGCTTACTTTTCACTCTGACATCCTCTCTTAAGCCGGGCATATGATTTTGGCCCCAATTTAGCTGTCCAGGAAAAGTTTGAGATCGGAGACAAAATCCCCATGTGGTTGCCTACTCGGGGCGTGCGGTTGTCACCGATGCTCGTTTAATGTGAGCGGGTCAGAGAAGAAATCTGAGAGCTACCGATCCAGTCTTTGAGACATCCCGATATTTTCAAAAATGTTGGATTTTATCGTCACTAAATATGCAATGCTCTTGTAGTGTGAGATGTTTAACGACAAGTTTTGACCACGGTGATCAGCAATAGCCAATGAGATCCTAGCAGTGATGATGACGTTTCGCATCAGCCAGAATGTGTACTCTTAAACAAGAGCGATGACTACTACTAGCATGCATTTGTACTTGCCTTTAACCTCTACGGGATCGGTGTCCCGTATATGGGACGGTTGAGCTAACGTGCGCTAATGTGATTAGCATGACTGTTGTAAGTAACAGCAAACTTTCCAGGACATAGACATGTCTTATATGGACAGAAAGCTTAAATTCTTGTTAATCTAACTGCACTGTCCAATTTACAGTAGCTATTACAGTGAAAAAATACCATGCTATTGTTTGAGGAGAGTGCACAACAACAAAAAAACTTGGCACGACAACTGGTTTTATACATTCACCTCTGAAAGTAAATAATGTACTTACATTCAGTAATCTTGCTCAGATTTGTCATCCTGAGGGCCCCAGAGATAAAATGTAGCATATTTTTGTTTGATAAATTCAAATTTTATATTCAAATGTAGGAACTGGGTTCTACAGTTTGAACCCCTGCTGTCTCTGGCTCCACACCCACCCCGCCATCTAGATGTGTGAAAGTTAGTGTATAAGATAATGATCCATCATGTGTGACATTCCTGGGAGTGTGTAAACTTACATTTTGTATTACCATATAATTTTTGTATGTTCTCTATAGGTATGTACTTGAAAATGTATCAATTGACCAATTCGGCACATTTGGCCAGACTTGATACAAAATAGTCCAGTATTGCAATGCTTCACTGGATCAATCTGAAACTATGCACACACTGCTGCCATCTAGAGGCCAACATCTAAATTGCGCCTAAACTGCAATATTATATTGTGGCCTTTCTCTTGCATTTCAAAGATGTAAAAAATAAACAATAGAAAACACATGTTTTTTTTGTTTGTATTATCTTTTACCAGATCTAATGTGTTATATTCTCCTACATTAATTTCACATTTCCACAAACTTCAAAGAGTTTCCTTTCAAATGGTATCAAGAATATGCATATCCTTGCTTCAGGTCCTGAGCTAAAGGCAGTTAGATTTGGGTATGTCATTTTAGGTGAAAATTGAAAAAAAGGGTCAGATCCTTAAGAGGTTAACCAAAGCATCAAATCATTACAGCTCTGAAGTTGACAAGCAATGTCATCCAATTCAAAATGTATTTGCTAGATATTTCAACTCTGTATGGCAAGCGTGAATGTCTGACTGAAAACGTTTATGAGGCGGCTTTTCGCGAGACAGCGTGGTATTGAGAATCCTCACGACCAAGTGAAGAATTGTATAGTGTGTGACCTCCCGTCTCTGCCACATCGTTTAGTGTGCGCACCACTATGTTGGCAAGACAAAAAATTACAGGAAATATTTTAAAAGTAATGTAGTGTACGCCGGCATTACCTGTCAAGGAGATGCTGTGGAGAGCAGTGAAGAGAGACCAGGCAGGGAAGTGGTTCGGGGGTTGCAGTAATGGCAGCTCCCTATATGAAGGGGACAGACAAACACACACACACATTAATAGCTGATAGTCAGTGGAAGAGCTTTAAAAACACACAATCACACTCACCAGCTCACTAGGCTCATCATCTGGGCTATCCCTATCACCTTGGTAACACCTCAACCTCCTCCTACTCCTTTCTTCATCCTTCTCTGTTTCCTCTTCGCTGGAGTCTTTGTCTGAAGAGACATAAGTCAAATCAAATTTTGTTTTGAAGAATCTTGTAGTGTAGTGTGTGATGACCCCCGTCTGTGCCACATCGTTTATCACGTGAGGTATATTAGAAAAATGTATAGACCTTTAGCCTACAGTGAATATGAAAAATGTATGCACTCACTAACTGTAAGTCGCTCTGGATAAGAGCGTCTGCTAAATGACTAAAATGTAAAAAATGTGAATAAATGTAAGCATTCCTAAATTCAAATAAGTTGCAGCATGACCATAAACAAAATGATTGAGCCAAAACCCACAACTTCCAAGGTACCGCTAAATTAATTTGAGAAAGCAGTTACAGCACAATCATTTTTCTGGGATTCAGGCTGTCTCCATCAGTGTCTTCCTCTATGCCCATCTAAGTGAGAACAATAATGAAATTGTACTCCAGCTAATTTAACTATTTCCTGCGAAAACACGACAGATGGTCGATAATGACATTCAGACAGTGATTGGGTCGTAACTAGGTAATGCTAACTGGCTAATAAGACCACAGATCTATCATGAAAACTGCAGCCAGCTAACAAGAGAGCTAGCTATCTAATTAGCCATTGCATTAGCTATAACTGGCAGAGGCTAGCTAACGTTAGCTGTTGCAAAATACCTGGATCAGGCCGCACTCTGGTCTGTTGCTTGCAACATCAGTTGACTAGGCTGACAACCTACAGCAACTAACTTAACTAGCAAATACATTTGATCACTGAAAACGAGTTACAATCGTCACATGTTTTCACTGGAATCAGATTCGTAGCTAGCTAGCCAGACCTGCCAGAATTAGCAGTAACGTTAGCTAGCCGGGTACGTCAACGTTAGCTCTCCTCCTAGCTACACCAGTCAAATACATGCGCTAATTACCTTAGATCCAGTTATATGTTTTGTCCGTTTAAATCCACAATCTCCAACTACCCTTTATTTTCTAAAACGTGCAATTTACGTTTAAAATACAGTTTTAAAGGTTGAGATAGTATTCTTTTAAAAGCACAATAAGAGGCCCATCCCATCCATCGCCGACATTTTACTTCCCTTCGCTTGAAACCGGTCAACAAGGGCCGATGGGAAATGAAGTTTTTCGTCGATCGGTCTGATTTTGGGGATGCCATCCTTCCAAATGCTATTTGAAAGATCCTGCACAAATTTAAATACTTTTCTCGCCAATAAATCTACACGTGTATTTAATCCTGAAGATTATATTTTTCCACGTTTCGATTATTGAATATCATGCCTTTATTATAACAAAGAATCACAGGTTAGAAACTGACTAGACACTATTTTATTGTTTAAATGTGAATTGACTTTCAAACGTTTTATTCTATGTTGACCCATCTCCTTTTACTGTATATCCTTCTGAAAATTTGAACACTTTGCACTGGTGTAAACCCATGCTAAATTTGTCTCAAAGTGTTGTAGTTCTGTGGTTCCCCAGATCTTTGCTTGTTGGCCTTTGGGCTTGAAACTAGTACAGCAACAGCGTTCTTAAGTATTGCAGTAGTTTTCCAGGTCATAGTAGTTTCAGAAACCCCTCTTTAACAGTCTGTGGTCCTCATCTCGCTCCCTCTCTCCATTCTCCAGCATCACCTTGGTTTCCATTTGGAAAGGGGCTATGTCCCTCATCATGATACCAGTGGAGGCTGGTGGGAGGAGCTATAGGAAGATGGGCTCATTGTAATGGCTGGAATGGAATTAATGGAATGGACTCAAACTTGTGAATTCCATATGTTTGAAGTGTTTGATACCGTTCCATGAATTCCATTCCAGCCACTACAATGAGCCCATCCTCCTATAGCTCCTCCCACCAGCCTCCACTGGATGATACCTGTTAGGGTTGAAAACAGGGTACCCCGTTACACAAAAACAGGCACCTACAGTCACATAGACACACACAAACTTACGCAGGCCTATGTTGTCCTCTCTGACCCGTCTCCCAGGCTGGTAGAACAGCCCCTTCTCTCCACAAACCAACAGCAGAGCTTCGACCAGCTGGATGCCACACAGACTACGGCAGAGGGAGCAGGCAGGACAGGGAGACCAAGGAAGCTCATCCTACTGCTACAGAGGAGGAGTACAGAGTAGAGAGGAGCTACATGATGTGGGGACAAGTCAGTTTGTGAGAAAGAGAAATAAAGGAAGGTTGGAAGAAGGGAGGGAGGGAGAGAGAGAGAGAGAAAGAAAGAAAGAAAGAAAGACAAAGGACTAGCTAGATAGAAGTTAGAACAAGAGAGGAAGGAGAATAACAATTTGTTAGCAAGAAGTGACAGAAAAAAAGATTTAGAAAGACATAGTAGAAAAAGAAGTAACCCGACAGAAAGGCGGAGAGAGAGAAAAAAAGAGAAAGAGAGAGGTGAGATTGAGGGCGAGGGACAAATGCTAAGAAGAAAAAAGTTGCTGTGAAGGCAAAGACGGAAATGCAAGTAGAGTTTTAAGTAGAGTATTAAAGTACAGTTAACTTACCCTGTTGACTGGCTGTTAGGGCGTTTACTTTCAATGCCAGCTCAGGCTGTGAGAGTCCCTCTATGTGCTCATGTCCACATGCCAAAGATTATTTGCTCCTCTCCAACCTTTCGTGTTCCTGTTGTGTCATCTATATGTATCCCTTACCTCTCTCTCTCTCTCTCTCTCTCTCTCTCTCTCTCTCTCTCTCTCTCTCTCTCTCTCTCTCTCTCTCTCTCTCTCTCTCTCTCTCTCTCTCTCTCTCTCTCTCTCTCTCGCTCTCGCTCTCTCTAAGAGTAAGGGACTTGGTGAGAATAGGGGGTAATAGTAGGGTGTAGGGAAAGACTAATATGTCACCTTTCTGTCCAGGAACTTTGAGTGCATCTTCATGTCCTCCTCCCACACCAGACGCCTCTTCTCAAACACTGGCTTATCATCCATCAACTCTGACACACAACACACATACATGTAAATAAGGGAACATTCCTAATACTGTGTCTGTGTACCTGTGCATGTGTGTACCTGTGTGTATTTCCGGCAGGAGCAGCAGGAGCCTCATGTTGATGGGAGAGCCCACCTGCACTCAGCTGTCAGGGTGCCTAAACAGGAACAAAGGGAGAAAGAGATGGCAGGAGCAGTGGTGCCCTGTATGTCCCGGGTTCCCCTGGTGTAGGCCGGGTCATGGTAAAAGCACTTTGTGACAACTGCTGATGTAAAAAAAAAAAAGGCCATATATAATTTGGCTTCATTTATTGTATAAGTAGAAGTGATGTCCACTTACCCATCAAGTAGGAAGTAGCAGTGTCAACACTGCCAAGTGCCTGGGATGTCCTCCACTGAGTCCACCGTCCTCTCCACCCCAAACACCTCCACCACGTCCACCACCGTCTGCTGTCTGACGTCTGCACCCCAGCTCCCTCTAACCACAGTTTGACACATTGGCCCACCAGACTCTTCACGCATTTGGGCGGAAGTGTCTGGGAACGAGATTAAATCAAACACAACTGAGAACACACATCAACTTCAAGCTTATCTCTCACAAAAAACACACACTTTTATTAGTATTATGAGTAGGGCAGACTAAAACAACTGACATACACACACATGCAAGCACGCACAGACACACTCACATACTGTATGTGGGGGTTGAGATGTGTGTGTCCTGGTGAAAGGAGAGGAAGGAAGGTCATGTTTTCTGGGACATTCTTCCTCAGAGGCAGCAGCATCAGAAGCAGCAGGCTAGAGCCCTCACACAAAAACCCCTTCAGAGAAGACAGAGGGCACGACACAGTCTGCCTCCTCACTTCCTACACACACACACACACACACACACACACACACACACACACACACACACACACACACACACACACACACACAGACCACACACACACAGGTTAGAGCCTTCAGATACATACCCTCTAATAGATCACATCGGAAAACACTCACTCTGCCCCCTTACAGTTGAAGTCGGAAGTTTACATACACCTTAGCCAAATACATTTAAACTCTGTTTTTCACAATCCTGACATTTAATCCTAGTAAACATTCCCTGTCTTAGGTCAGTTAGGATCACCACTTTATTTTAAGAATGTGAAATGTCAGAATAATAGTAGAGAGAATGATTTATTTCAGCTTTTATTTCTTTCATCACATTCCCAGTGGGTCAGAAGTTTACATACACTCAATTCGTTTCGGGTAGCCTTCCACAAGCTTCCCACAATAAATGGGGTGAATTTTGGCCCATTCCTCCTGACAGAGCTGGTGTAACTGAGTCAGGTTTGTAGGCCTCCTTGCTCGCACACGCTTTTTCAGTTCTGCCAACACATTTTCTATAGGATTGAGGTCAGGGCTTTGTGATGGCCACTCCAACACCTTGACTTTGTTGTCCTTAAGCCATTTTGCCACAACTTTGGAAGTATGCTTGGGGTCATTGTCCATTTGGAAGACCCATTTGTGACCAAACTTTAACTTCCTGACTGATGTCTTGAGATGTTGCTTCAATATATCCACATAATGTTCCTTCCTCATTATGCCATCTATTTTGTGAAGTGCACCAGTCCCTCCTGCAGCAAAGCACCCCCACAGCATGACGCTGCCACCCCCGTGCTTCACGATTGGGATGGTGTTCTTCTGCTTGCAAGTCCCCCCTTTTTCCTCCAAACATAACGATGGTCATTATGGCCAAACAGTTCTATTTTTGTTTCATCAGACCAGAGGACATTTCTCCAAAAAGTACGATCTTTGTCCCCATGTGCAGTTGCAAACTGTAGTCTGGCTTTTTTATGGCGGTTTTGGAGCAGTGGCTTCTTCCTTGCTGAGTGGCCTTTCAGGTTATGTCGATATAGGACTCGTTTTACTGTGGATATAGATACTTTTGTACCTGTTTCCTCCAGCATCTTCACAAGGTCCTTTGCTGTTGTTCTGGGATTGATTGCACTTTTCGCACCAAAGTACGTTAATCTCTAGGAGACAGAAAACGTCTCCTTCCTGAGCGGTATGACGGCTGCGTGGTCCCATGGTGTTCATACTTGCGTACTATTGTTTGTACAGATGAATGTGGTACCTTCAGGCATTTGGAAATTGCTCCCAAGGATGAACCAGACTTGTGGAGGTCTACAATTATTTTTCTGAAGTCTTGGCTGATTTCTTTTGATTTTCCCATGATGTCAAGAAAAGAGGCACTGAGTTTGAAGGTATGCCTTGAAATACATCCACAGGTACACCGCCAATTGACTCAAATGATGTCAATTAGCCTATCAGAAGCTTCTAAAGCCATGACATCATTTTCTGGAATTTTCCAAGCTGTTTAAAGGCACAGTCAACTTAGTGTATGTAAACTTCTGACCCACTGGAATTGTGACACAGTGAATTATTGTCCCGGATTCTGCTGAGGCTGTCCTTCCTCCTTGCTCGGGCAGGCTTCGGCGT